TTAAATCATATCTTAAAACCTGTCAGTTGATCGGTCGCCATACGTATAGTGTTAATAAAGTAATTACTTAGATATTAGGTAGCGCAAAAAGTTCGTGCAATTTTGTTGTTAGTAATGAATTGAAGTTCAATTTTAACCAATGTTTCACTAGTTTAATGAAGGAAATTAATATTAGTGTGTATGTATGTATGTCGCTAGTTGTAAATTTTAATTCAGCAACCTCTACGAAGTTTTTCTGGCACCTATTAGTAATATTGTATTCGTAATACAATAATGGTACCTAAGAAAATTTAGGTTATATATCATATTAACACATTGAGCGCCGGCGACGTAAGAGACATTTAAAGCCTGAGCGGCGGCAACGTATCGGCCACTGAGCCCAAACGCCAGTTTCATTCGCTTGTATCTGATCAATGAGTAGCCAAGAAAAATATTCAAAACATTATACATTTTCGAAAAATAGTATATTTTAATTGTATATTCGTCATATTCAGAAATGGAAATCCAGAAATCCGCATTATTGCTGGGCCGGCGCTCAAGCGATAGACTCAGAATCCCGCGTTTTCACGGGGCCGACGCTCAAACGACATACTTCGAATCCCACGTTTTCACGGAACCGGCGCTCAATGTGTTAAAGAAGACAACGGATTATATTCTAAAAGAATGATATTTAATCACTACTATAAATTCCACTATCAAATATTAGTACGGCAAAGAATATTACTCCAGTATATTGTTAACATCAACAATGTGAAGCGAAAAATATAGTTTCCAAATCGTAAAGTTAATATTATTATTAGATGAGTTATTAAGAAATTATACTACTAGTTATTAATATTATAAGATTGTAGATATATTAATAGACTATTATTAAAGTAGACAATAAGTTATCTGTCATCTTTTAAATGACACAAATGTATACAATATTCAGTGGGTGAGGTAATGAGATTTTTGAAGGAATGTCCTAATAACATTGAAAGAACAAAGATATTTTAAGAAATTACTAACCGATACAGATGTGCGGTCCTTCGCCGAAGGGGAAGTAAGTGTAAGCTGGCCTCGTTTTCTTCACTTCGTCACTGAATCTCATGGGATCGAATTTCTCCGGTTCAGGGAAATATTCTGGGTCATAGTGCATCCCTGTCATAGAAATGTACACTGGAGTACCTTTCTCAATCACCAAATCAGAATTGGGGACTTTATAGTCGGTCGATGCGACTCGATCCAGAAATCCTAGCGGTGGATGCTTGCGAAGGGTTTCTGAAACTACCATGTCAAGGTATGGCAGTGTCACAATCTGTAAGAAAGATACGTCTCCTTTATACATACTGTAAAATATACAGGTTTATTAATTATGTTAGATACAGTTTGTATAATAAAGTATTCGGAGGTCTCAGTTTATATAATACAAAAATCAGTACAGGATTCTTTTCAAAACAATTCAAGGTTTTCATAAAGTGAAAATTGACATAATACTTAGTTTTTTGTATTATTCATTCTAAATTTATACATATTATCTATAACAGAAAAGGCAAGGTCAATGATAACTATCATTAATTATTCATTACTTAGTTGCTTGCTTCAGACGTAATAATCGGGACAAAACTAGAGTGCTCGAATGTGTTCTTATTATTTAGTACTCAATCCCTGTTTTACTACTGTTAATTCCTGATAACTTGATTACATATTTGTGTAATACCATGAAATGATTACATATTTGTGTAATACCAATGAAAGTTACTTGAGTAATCTAAAGCTTCATTTCATCAAACTCTGTAATTTTACTGCGATTGAGAATCACTCTTCAGTGCGAAACGTTAAATTCACATGTATTAGATTTTAAATTACATTTTGATTATCCTACTACGACATAAGTGTGACCGTTGCAAATTTAATGTGCAACAACGTATGAGAAACGTAGTGTAAATGTTACATAACCGGTTATATCATAATGATTAATTTTGCAAGTCAGATACACTTTACAGATTAGTGAACGATCTGTAAACTATAAGTTATA